GGGAGGGGGAGAAGGAAGGACACTGCAACAAGAAGAGGGTTTAGAGGACAAATACCATCAAGAAACAATTCCTCTGCCATAGGGAACAAAAACAAACATGCAGGAGGAGGGAAAAGAAGCTCCTTTACTTCTGTCAGCTGCTCCTTGGAAGGAGACCTGCAATTGGATAATGCATGTCATTTATATCCCCTTCCCCAAACACACATGAACCTCAAGTCAGTGTCACAACATGGTATTTCCTTCCCTTTCCCAGACTACTACAGCCTCAAACACTTGTGCATATCCATAAACTGACCCACATCTAGAGACGCCCTGGAAGGCACTGATGAATTGCAGTGTTTGTAGGGCTGGAGTTATCAACAGGTCAAACATCTTCAGACATCAGTTTCTTTCATCTAAGTAATAAAACCTGGCATTCTGTGCGTGCACTTGTGTGCATTTCACATGACTCCAGGGCGAGAACTCTTCAAAGGCACAAGAGCTCACACAGTATTGTGCGTGCACCTGTGTGCATTTCACGTGACTCCAGGGCGACACCTCTTCAAAGGCACAAGAGCTCACACAGTAGTAAATCTAGTTCTTGAACCCACCATATAAAAAGGGACCTCTGCAAACCTGGCACCAGCAGGGAACTACAGTCCCCAACAAAACAATAGCTGAATATGCAAGTCCTGGAGAGCAGACTGTCAGTGCTCCCAAGATAGCAGATCCCTTACAACCTCAGTCTCAGAGGACATGAATCCAGGTAGCAAATAAGTTCGAAAGGTCAGACATATCAAGGCATTGCATGTCTCCAGTTCCCCCAGCACCTGTGAGCAGAGCTAAGGTGCCAAGTTCATCAGCACCAACTGACTTGCTAAATGCTTAAAGTACATCTTATTGCAGACAAACAGGAGACAGAAACAGCAAATCGTCTTTCAGAGCCAAGGCAACAAGGTCATTGCCTCTCCATTCGCAGTAAAGAACACTTAAAGTAATGCAAAAGCAGAAGCATTTTCTTATTCCTGACGACACACATCTTGGAATACACCGTATCAATCTCTAAGAACCACCGAACAGCAACAGAGGATTAGATTTTGGGTTTTATTGCTCAGTGATAATTAAATACTGAGACTTGATTAGTTAATAACATAAGCTAGCGTTTCAACTTGACTGAGCATAAGAAAATAGGTTAAAGAACTTTGACAGCTCTTCTTGTCCTTCAGTTTCTTTAGTGCGAGTTCAAGTGCCCATCAGTCCCCAGAAACCAGCCAGAGCAATATAAATGTCATCATCCCTGAACATCACACCTATGTGTCCTTCGTTCCTTGGCAGTCAGGAGTGTTAGGAGTGTCAGGGAAACTTTACATCAGTTTAGGAAAAAGAGAAAAAAAAAAGTCAGTGTGATCAGAAAGCTTCCATTCACATTGGCTGTAGCAACTAATTGTTGCCAGATGAGAAGGAAAAAAAAGGGGAGGTAGTTCAAGGGAACCTTTCAAAGGAACTGTTCACATCAGTGTAACAGAACCCTCAGAGCACTGGGAGCAAAACAAGGAAAGAGCATATTTTCACAGTATTTCTGACAGTTATTTTAGCAACCTTGCTACTATGCTTGGCAGCATGCGAGCTGCTCAGCTAGATGTGAGAGATGCTTTTAAAGAAGTATGAAAATAAGGTTTGTTGCTTTCCTGAATTCTTAAAAAGAAAAGTTACTTCTATTCTCTCATTTATGTTAAAGTCTTTGAGAGAATCTAGGATATGAGAGACAGAAGCAAGCCCATAAATTTAAAGAGCTTTTTTAGGCTCTCTGTTTCTAAAGACCACCCAGTTCTGCCCCTTTACCCCTTCTATCACCTTGCAGTGTCAAACTGTTCTAGAGAACACAGAAAGCAACAACCCCGAGGATCATTTTGTTGCCAGAAAACGCTGATCTTGCACAAGGAGGAGACAGTGGGAATGTACAAAGAATTAAGGAAGAAAACGATCCAATTACAAAAGGATGCCTCCAACTTTTTTTTTTTACTATTCTTGCAGAAGAGCTCATGCTTTCAGGAACGGAGCTGCTACTGACACAACATTTTTGATCAGCAGTTCTCCCTGTAACTTGGCTCACAAAGTTCGTAAGTCCCATTTTAGTCCTACAACTAGAAAATTGTTTGCAGCTCCCAGCAAGTAACAAAAAGGAATCATCTCTGTCATACAAAATTAATTTTTATGTTGTCATTTACACGCTCACATCTCTAATTGGCAATGAAGACAAAGCTATTGAAAGAAAGCACAGACTTGAGATACACACATGTATGTATCTACCCAGTGCTGCCTGAGTATGCTGGGAACACTGAAAACAGTGGTTGATTTGTCACACCCCAGCTTCAAGTCTTTTATGAGCAGCTCCTTTGAAGCCAGTCCTGTATCTCACACATCTGCAGTACAGAGCTCTTATACTCCATCTCTGTCTCTGCCAGATGAGCCACCCAGGGTTTGTGATCCACCACCAACTGTACCTGATGGGTGGCATCACAGAGCACAACATAAGCTGGGAGGGAGCACAGCTGCGGGGAGAGGCATCCTGCCTTGCAGCCTCTGCACTTGCAGGGAGCCCCATCAGAAGGTAAGCTGACATCTCCCATCATTGTGATCTGACTGAGCCCTCTCACACAACCCATTTGTTACATCTCACACATTACAGGAGACTAAGTGAGGGGGAAACAAACAAAAAAAAAGAAAAGCACCAATGTCAACTCTGGATTGAAAGTACAGTTTGTTTTGCCCTGCACTGTGTTTCATTTCTACCAGCTCCACAGCCTAAGAGCCGTAGCACACAAAGCCAAATCACAGGCCACAGGGTTAGATCTGGTGTGTGGGGCCTGAGCAAACTTGCAAAGCAAACTGGATCACTTGTTAAACATCCTCCCACAGCTGCCGCAGAAGTCAGTGACGGCAAGAGAAGGCCTGTTCCCTAACACCCATCCCCACCAACTGACCCTGGGCCAGCAGCTCCTCTTCCCAAGTCACTTCGCTCTGCAGTAGCCACAAGTGTCAGCAGGTGCTTTCAGCTGTTCGGTGCAGCAGGACACCAAAAAGCATTGCGCCCAGCTCCTCAAAAGCACTCATGAGGCACAATGCAAACACACCAATATCTGCGATTTCCATAAGAGAGAGAACTCACCATAACACTGTGTATTTCTGTGGTGTGGTTTCTTCTTTCTCAGACTTTAGCCAGGGACATCGACCCAAGAGGCCAAGTTACCCCACTTTGCCAACAGGCAGCAGAACAGCAAGGCTCCTGCCCACGGTCTGGCAACAGAATCTAAGCCAGGACAGGCCCCAGGACAACCTACTCCCACCTTCTTCTCATGACTCTGTGCCAGTCTAGTATCAATATTTTTATAGCAACAGATAGCCAAAGGAAAAAGGAAACAAAAGTAAAAGGCTGATCAACCTGAACCGCACATGCTGTCAATCAACTCAAAACAAAGCAGCGGGTTTCAGTGCTCTGACCAAATGGGACTAGCATTTCAACAGCTCCATCCCCAACTCACAAGTCTTTTCGGTGTTTCTGGATTTGAGCTTTCAGATCCTCCTCTTCTTGCAGTTGCTTGGCCACCTGCAAGTCATGCTGCACCAGACGATTACGCTGAACATTTGTTGCCAAGTGATGCTCAACTGGAAATAAACACAGACAAGAACCCCCAAATCAGCCTGCAGAACTTCATGATGTGAACAAGACAAAGCAAGTGGTAGGGATATTCCAGGCCAGAAAGGAAGACAGTTCTTGGCAGGGAAATATCATGTAATATCTCTAAAGGTGAGGAAGTCCTGAACTGAAATTACGCTACCAGCTTGAGACTGTCTCATTTCAGCACTGAGGGGGCTATATATGTGTTTCTGTTACCAAAACAAGATCTGCATATCTTAATTGCATCCAGATTTATAGGGAATGATTTTTAGGCTTTGAATTTCATTTTCTAGCCATGGGAAACTACCCTAGAGTACTAAAGTGGGTCTGGAAGAGACCACCAGAGGCCAGTGAGGATGAGCTGAACCTAAACCACTTCTGATTGATGCTTCCCTTATTTGTTCTCAAGAATCTCCAGAAGATGAAACTCCTCTTGCTCTCTACATAATCGGATCCAGAATCTCATTACCTTTATATTTAGCAACAGAGCAACTGAGCACTAAAGCGAGTCCTTTAACCATACATGGATACTGCCTGCAAGAAAAGATGGCTACGTGAGCTGCGGCTGAGAGCCATCTTTAATTCAGCGGTCTCAGGTTCCAGTAGCAAGGGCACAACTTCAGCACAAGCTGCATGCTTGGCTGAGCAGCTGGATTGGCATTAGCACCTAGTACTGGTAGATACCAATGGTCTTGGCACCCAGCAAAGCAGATTAGTATGCATAGACATTTTTTAAAAAAAAAATAAATTTAAAATTCACCAGTCACTTTCAAGTTCCTGGCTGTACTCTTTTTTTCTCTCCTTTTTTAAGTCCTTGTAGTGTACAGCTGCCCTACCTCAAAATATCTTAAAGGAAGCCTGCTTCCAAAAGGCAGGCACTAGCAATTCTGAAATAAGTAAATAAACAGACCTCTTCTGGTTGCACCTCAGTTCAGCCTATAAAACTTGAAGCTTCCAAAATTGCCAGTAATTTCTAAAAACCTTGCACAGCAACAAAACCTCAAGTGCACTCCTACCTGCAATTTATCACAAAGGGCATAAGCAAAACCAACTGTAAGGGAGAGCAGAAAACTGAAACATGAAATGCAACTATCTCTAGGGTAAAACATGAGCTAGGGCAGAACATCGAGTAGTGAAGACAGGACAGTGTAGAGAGTAATAATAATCCCTATTACATTAGAAAGAATAAAAATTAAATAAAAGCAGGGAGGACTTTTCTTAGCAAAGCCAAATAAAGCCAGATACCTGTTAGGACAAATTTGCTTCAGTTTGTCCAAAGATCATTGCTACTTACTCTCTTGCTCTTGTAAGTTATGGGCCAAGGTATGATCTTCCAGAACAGCGAAGTCTCGACATACTGGATGAGGAAACAAAGAGAAGAGAATTAGCATCAGAAGCAGTGGGGGGGGGGGGAGCATCAAAAGACCTATGGGGGTTGGGGGAACATACATACACAGAGACTTCTGAGACACTTTCTACGAGCCCAGGTCTGGACTTGTATTCTTCCACCCCACCCCCAACTTGTGGCTATTTTTGCACACACTTACTTCTTTATCCCTGTTTGCATAACAAGTCTCCTCCACTCTCCCCTCCACCTCCGCTTCTTTAGTTTAAGACCAGAATTACCCACACCATCACTGATCAGACCTTGTGTACCCCACCCTGTGTTCCACCCACATTTATACCAATGCCCACACTGACTGTGTTCAACTAAAACCAATGGCAAGCATTTCTGCTTACTGTGACTTTCTTTGCCAGGTTAAAGAGTCTCAGAACAGTATTTAATCTGCACAAAGGCAAATGCACACTGTCACCTCTGCAGAGCTGAGCAGACTGAGCTCCGTGGCTCTCACTGCAAGGCATTTCTACCAGTTCAGGCATCACTTTACAGTTGTCTCTTGTAAGCTTCATTGACTTTTTCAAGTGTGAGGCTGAATTTGTACCCAGAACCCAGACACGGGATCAACCACAGCATTACCGGCAGGGATAAGCACATCTTCTTAAAAAGATGCTGAAAACAACCCAGAGACAAGCTAAATGGGAAGGGGACAAGCTCCCCTTGGCATCAGTCCGAAAGCAGCAATTTTTGCCAATGCCTATCACTTTCACACTTGAACTTTCAAAGGAACACTCTACCCACACTGTAGAAAAACACCAGTGTTTATTTTTAACTTGCTGTAAAAGGCATAAGTCACATACATATTGGGACAGGGACACACACAGAGCATCTGCTTCAGCTTTTTGGTGGTGGGTACACATCAGCTTCTCGGTGAACCAAGGACAAACTGTGAGCTGTGCCCCCAGACTGCAGGATGGGGCCCCGCTCCACACACTTGCCATACACAGGGTTCCCATCTGCTTCAAGGGGAGTTTAAGGTAGTGGCACTAAAAAAATTTACCCTGGAGAGGTGTGCCACTTGTTTTTCCCTCAACGTAACAAGCTAAGCAGCTTAACAGGACCCAAGAGGAGAGTATCTCCCATTCAAAATATACAGTACAATGCAGAGAACTACAGGGTGCTTCCAAAGCTGCAGAGAAACCTGTGGGGAAGACCAAGGTTTCTTTTTAGCACAGTGACAGCCTAGAAGAGAAAGTGAAAATAACCCCAAAACCCCCAGAACGTACCAAAACTACAAGGGGAATTTATGAGGAACCCATTTATGAAAGGGTTCAGAGTCAGAGAAGATAAAAGATTTCCATCATCACAAAGGGCAGAAAATACAAGGAAACGAGAAGGTAGCTGCATCTTCCCGAGCCACAGTCCCACAAGCCTTCCCTCTTCTCGCACTGACACACATGCTCTGTTAGAGAAGCATCCAGATCTTCCTCTGCGCCCAGGTACCTTCACAAAGTATCTAGAAGAGTTTCAAGTTGTATGTACTAAAACGTCAGATACATGCTTTATCCTTTATTGTATTCAACAGAATTTTTGGTTCAGTCTTTCTGCATTGGAGAGTGTTTCAGAGATGACAAAAGCTCCTAACAGCTAAAGGGAAGGGAGTGACAAGCAGCAGGGTGGAGACGAGGACAAAGATTACGGTTATAGGATCCCATAGTGACTCACTTTTAAGCATGTACAATTCTGGATGGTGCAATTAAGGTTTTGTTGTTGCTTTTTTTTATTGCAACTTCTTCTAAAAAAGGAAAGAGGATACAAAACACTAAATAGCACTGAAACACTTCCAGTGGGCATTTGTGTACAAATAAACGATGCCTTCAGCGACAGATCTGGAAAAGCCAGAGCTGAGTTGCAGGCAGCAGTACTATTCAAATGTGACATATCCAGGGTGCTTGGTCATCATGAATACATGTTTTTATGGGATAGGGCAAGGGGATCTTGCCCATAGAGACTACTTCTGTGGTCCCTAATACTACTTCAGCTTCATAGCATGATTGTGGAACAAGCATCTTCTGCTTACAACAAGCATCATCTGGCCTGCTGGAGGGGCACATCCAACTTGGAGGTTTGAGTCCTGCTATCAGTTCAGAGCCAAGCAAAGACACCTCAATACAGAGCCACAAACAGTCTGCCCAAATCTATGGTCGTGGTTTTATCACCACACATTCAAGAAGCAGCACTTGCTCCTGACAGCTTTTTTTTTTTAAAAAAAAAAAAACCAAACAAAAAACAATGAAGAGAAGTGTTATTTTTAACTGTTAGAGGTCTCTGAGCATGTCAACTGCACAGCTGCCTGAACAGCTGTAACTAGCAAGACAAGGCGGGCAGCACAGGAGCAAGCATGAACATTTCAGAGCTGTGTATTTCTGGCATAAAGATCGCTGCTGTAAGAAATGATTATGAAACTGCATCCCAGCACTTCCCAACTCCTTTCTGCACAGGCTCATACACTGCTCTGATTGCTGTGGTATTCCCAGAGCTCTGCCTTGTCAGTCATGGTGCTGGCAGACCTTTACTCCATCCTCCCCAGAGAGGCACATGTGCAGAGGACAACTTTAGGTTTTTTTACTCCATTCCACTCACACCCAGACACACTTCTCTATTTGTTTGGGAAAAAACCACGTTGACAGAAACATGCTTGGCGTACAGGCGAGAAAGTGGGAGGGCTGTGGTGGAACGCTGCTGCTCTTCTCTTGACAGTCTTGCATCAACCCCAAAAAAGTCTCATCTCTGGTGAGCTTTGCTCCTACAATACAGCAGTGATTTTTTTAGTGACCCATCAATGCAAAAGGCTTAAACACTTTCTAAAGAAAGCATGAACTCAAAATAAAAAGTCCCAGTGCATACACTATTGTGTTGTATAGATGGGCCTGCTCCTAGCTGCTTCTCCAGAGATCAGTTGGAAGTAGTCCATGGGTCTCAAAAGTTAAACAAACAAGCAAAAATAAACAAAACAAACTCCTCTGGTCCTCACTTTCTATGGGCCACAACTGAAAGCTACTGGGTGCCAGAGATGTAAAGCAGAGACCAAGGCTCCCGTCTGGGTTGTTTTGGCTCTTCAGGACAGGTCTGTGCCACTTGGAGCTCAGTGCCTAGGCCAGGAAGCACGTACAGCCCAGGGTACCATCCAGCTCACCACCCAAAGCAGCCGAGCTCAGATCCACTGCCATCTCTAACATGGCCATGCAGCACCCAGACCTGAGGCTGTGCCCAGCCAGCGCCTGCCCTGTCTCTGTGCACAGGGACAAAACAAGTGGAGACAACGCCCCAGGACAAGCCAACCAGTTGCAGAGCCTAGACACGAATAGAGGGGCTGGGTCTTAAAACAGTGATGATGACTCCATCCAGATCCAGTACAGAGAGAGAGGGAAGCTGGATGGTTATTAACAATATGCACACTGGAAGCTCCCAAGTGTCTGGGCTCCACAGTGCCATTTCACAGAGGACACAGCATGGAGCGGGCTGGTGGGGCAGGAGCAAGCCTTGGCTTTGCTCACACGTTTGGATTCATTTGTACACTGCTGAAGAAGTCACTCGGCTGCCTATACCCTCCCATTAAGCTGCTCTTACAAACCCGCAAGCGGATGGCTCGAGCACACAACCCTTACTCTGTGCTGCTGAAGCTGTTGCCAGGGCAGACAGTACAAGAAGACTTTTTGTCACTGTCAGAAACTTGGCTGGGCTGGCTGCCTCCAACTCATCTGAGCACATCATTCCCAAGTCCCATCAGCCCAAGAACAACACGCAAAGGAAGATGAGAACATTCCATTACGAACACAACTAAGCGCTGTCAGTCAGCCAGGTTGGCAAGAGACGGGGACACCTGCAACTCCCTAGCAAGTCTGGGGGCGATGGCAAGTGCAGAGCACTCCCTCAAGACTAGGCCTAGCACCCAGGGCACCGAGTCCAGCATAACCACAGATATAAATGAGGCCAAGGAAACCAACCCATTGAAGACATGCATCCAACAATGCAGCAACTACAAAATAACTGGAGATGTGGACCAGCCAGGCATGGTCTGAAATGAAGCGTCATTGGCACTAGTCCTCATCCCCTGCCCAGTCCCAGTGTGGCCCCAGCACACTCATTACTAGATATTATGTGCACTGGGTTTGTGCCCAGAAATAGAATGACCCCAATGACAACACAGACTCACAATTCCTCTTCTCCAAGAGGCTTTGTATTTAAGGGGAAAGAAATCTACTTCCCTATTCCCTAACTGTATGCCTAAAAAATGAAAGGTAAAGAGCAACGTTACGTTCACTGCTGCAAATTAACTTGACTTCCCATCACTGGGCCCTGGCTGCTAGCCATCAGACAATCAAACAAGCAGCAGGGGTGCAATCAGAGCAGCTACAATTGGCAAGTCCAGTGAAGCGTGAAAAATTAACAACAGGTTTACCATAGCCTGATTAAGCCAATCTGCCTTGGCACAGCAGGGAGCAGGACTGGAATATGGATGTGCTTCTGGCACAGCTGTCAATAACAAATGCCAGCCCAGGAATCTCAGCTGCTGCCAGAGCCAGCAGAGGTGCCAGCAGGGGAGCACAAGGGCAGAAGCATGGCTGGAAGCATCATCCTTTGCAGTGGCAGGCTGCAAAATTCATGTAGCGGAATGAAAGAGGGAGCTTGCTTGCTTGGGGGATCCTGAAGAGCCTCTCTGAAAGCTCCAAGCAAAGGTCTTCTCCACTGGTAGGAGTTCACCCTGAAAAGATGCCTTTCTAAGATTCAGTACATCCGAGGCTCTTGCAAATGTGGTTGCAAGCCCTGCCTTTATGGCTGAGGTAAGAGCATCTCTAGGTACAACAGCTTGACAAAACTTCATGAAATAACCTTTTCCTTTTTATGTTCTGCCACCTGCCTCACTAACTTTCTCCAGCATTACCCCAGCTCCATAGCTCAGCATTTCTAACACTAAACTGCTTCAAAGAGAGTGAGGTAACCACAACAGAGGAGCAAAGGCAGCCTTAGATGTTGCCAGTGATACTTAGGTGTGTGACAGAGAGGTAGGTAACATCCAGGAATGGACAGTGTGATGTGCACTGTCTCTACAAGAGGTCAAACCCCACCGGCTTCTCAAGCAAGGCTTACAGCAAAGCGCACCCCCCCACTTCTGCCTGAAGTCTCAAACCATGTTTTGACACCCGCTGCAGGGCCCAAGAGCCCCTTTGGTTCACATGGCCCATACGTTGTGCTCTGGGACATCGGCCAGTTCAATGACCGAGGGACCACACATGCATGCTCCAAGCATTTCCTTTTGGGTCTTAAAAACCACCTCTTGCTCCCTATCCCCCTGACTCCCAACATTTTCCTGTCAGCATCACGTGCTGGATAATTCACGAAATAAACTGGAAGGTGTGAGTCATGCTTAGTTTAGAGCATCTGCAGTTTTTTAATCTTGAACTGAAGGACAGGAGGGAAAGACAAAAGTGACACAGGAAAAAAAAAACAGTTTCATCAGCTAAAAATCACTTTTTAGGGCGTAGAAAGCTGACAAATTAAGTGGGAAGCA